TCACGCTCATTGCTTCAGTGATGCTATCGAACCATTTCATCCTCTGCCGTCCTCTTCTTTAGGAACTCCCATTTTCTTCTGAAGGTCTTCCTTCTTAACATGGCTCAGATCAGTACAAAGTAAGAGGCATTTGGGAACCGGTGAATCACCAATGCAAGGTCTTTTGAAAGACACACATTCTAAGAGCTGCTGAAGTCTCTTTTTAAGAATTCTACATAGATGCAAAGGTGGAAAGTGCATTGCAGGTAGAAAAACATGGAGGTTCTTTTCTAAGGTATTGCTTGCTTCCACTATAGACACCTTATCCATTGTGAAATTATGACTTTGCTAACTTTTCCCCCCATTGTACTACATGGAAGGATGTGGACAATACTTTTGACTTATGAAAGTCCTAAATTTTGTTTAAAAGTGAAGAACTCTGGGGACACTTAATATTTTTGTGCAAAACTATCCTGAGGATATGACAGGAAGGAACCTTCTTGTGTTCTATAAGACCTTCAGAATAAGCAAAAGATCTGCTGAAAAATACCTAATCAAGTATGTGAATGTGCTACTGGTTTGGAGGTAAAAGGTATAAGAACACACAAAAAAAACCCTGTTGGTTAAGCCAAGGCTCGTTTTAGTTCAGCATTTTGTTTTTATTGGTGGCCAACCAGATTACTCTGGAGTTCTTACAAGAAGAAGATGGAGACCTACCTCTCTCTGGTTGCTCCCCTGCAGCTGGTACTTGGAAGCATGTTCCCAACCTGGAAGTAATATTAGGTCTTCAGGATTAATAGCCCTTGATATATCTGTCCTCCAGGAATTTATCCAATCCCCTTTTAAAGTAATCCATATTAGTGGTTCTTACCATGCTTGTGGTAATGAAGTCTGCAAGTTTCTGTTTGGTTCTAGTACAGTATTTGGAGGGAAGGAGAAACATTCCCTGAACACTGCACAATGCACTTTGATCATGCCCTTCTCAATTGCCTCTTTTTCCAAGCTCAGAAGTCCCAAACATTCTACCTTTTTCTCATAGGGAAATTGTCTAGGAAGCTTAAAGATCTTGTAGGGAGGGCCTTCAAGCTCCCTGGTCATTTTGGCTGCCCTCTTCTGCCCTTTTCCAGTTTTATTGTATCTTTTTCAAATGTGACCAGAACTATACACAGCATTCTTTCCTAATGATCTCTAATACGGAATTTGCACTTTTCACAACTGCTGCATACTCAGTTGACATCTTTATTGAGCTGATATGATTCCAAGATGTTTTCCTGGTTAGTTGGATAGCTCAGTTCCCAAAAATGTATATGCAAAGTTAGGACTTTTTTGCCTATACAGTATTCTTTAAAAATCAGACAATGTGATTTTCTGGATTTTTCCCCCCATTTTGTCTCTCATAGTTGAGGTATACCTATGATGAAAATTACAGGCCTCTCTCATC